GAGGACTCTAGATTCATGGACTAAGAAGAGAGGGACTAAGAGCTGGTGGCCAGGAGCAGACTTGCAGAATGTGCCCTTTGGAGATGTAAATTATTCAATATGCCTGAGTGTGGCTTTTTTTGTTTGTTTTTAAAAAAAGCTAAAGTGGATAGAGAGACATACTGTTAACTGATGGTACATGGAGATTATAATCAATGTAATGAAACAAGGTATATGATTTGTTGAATGTAAAACTGATGATCTGCCCTTTAAACTTTCACTCAATCCACAATAAAAACCTTTTTTAAAAAAGGAAACAAAACAGAAAACACAGAGGAACAAATCTCATTCATAGCTTGGGGACTGCCTGTATACAAAAATAACAAGTATACCAGTTAAAATATTAAAAACATAGTCTGTACAGGTATTGACAGTCACATGCTCTGTGCAATAAGCATTTATCCATATGAAAAGTATGCACTAGCTCCTTGCACTTCCCAGTGTGACACTGAGAGGCCTGTAGAGAACTGAAATACAGTATTGCATAGTGTGATGTAGAATGATACCCCTTGATTCTAGATCAGGAGCCCCGGTGGTGCCGTAGTTAAGTGCTCAATTACTAACCAAAAAGGTCAGCAGTTAGAACCCACCAATGGTTCTCAGGAGAAAGATGTGACAGTCTGCTTAAAGATTTACAGATGTGTTACACTATGTGACGATTCTACCTTGTCCTATAAGGTCACTGAGTTGGAATCAACTCAACAGGAGTGGGTTTGGTTTTCCTGGCTGTGGATCTGTCCATTTTTATTCATTTGCACCTTTATTTCTTTTTAGAGTGAGACTCATTCCTTCAAGCCTTCAGGCTATGTTGTTGTTGTTAAGTACCGTAGAGTCGGTTCCCACTCATAGTGACCCTGCATAGGGTTTCCAAGTCTGCAAATCTTTTCCGGAGCAGAAAGCCTCATCTTTCTCCCGCACGTTCAGGCTATGGGTTATGTCCATTTGAAAGACAGTCCAGAAGATTGTACTTCACGCTGGGAAATATTAAGCCCTCATTCTCCTGCTTCTGCTTTTGAACATCTAGAGCTGCTACGTTGCCCCTTGTGGTGGTAGCTGGAAACCTCCAGGAACAACAATCGTACATGTACTCAAAGAATCATGACTTTTATGTAATATCATTTGTTCCAGGATTTACACTTTGTGACTTTTCAATGTGTAGTGCAAGAGGAAGCAAAACAAACTCTGAAAGTTGAGAGGAGTAAGTGAAGAGAAGGCTATTACTCCAACTCCTCCCTGCACCCTTCTTTCCCTGCCAAATACAAGGTAAACACCCTAAAGACAGAGTCCTGGTGTGGATAATCACTAGATGACTAGGGCCGCTATGGGTCAGAACTGACTCGTTGGCACTTAACAACAATCCTAAAAACGGACTCCTGGTGTGACACTGTAGGATCAGCACTGGACTTGGAACCACCAGCTAGCTACTACTCGAAAATCCTATACAGGGTCGCTGTGAGTCGGAACCGACTAGACAGCACTTAATAGCATCCTAACGACAGCTCCTATTAATGGCTGGAAGACCAGGTGCATAGCTGGGACCTTAATATCTAAGATAGAACATGTTGTTGTTGTTAAGTGCCGGGGAGTTGGTTCTGACTCATAGCGACCCCGGTATAGGGTTTCCGAAGAGCGGCTGGTGGGTTGATAAAATATAAATCTCTACAAATAGGAATGATTGGCCTGTTAACATTGATCCCCTAGGGAAAGCCTACGCCGAGGGAATTAAAAGACTATTTGAGAACACTAGTAAGGATAGCAAAATAACAGTTAACATTTAAGGAATTGTGTGTGGGCTTTTTATTCCTTTTAGAATCGGCATAATCTATAACTAGTGTTGTTTGACTTTTCTGTTTATTTTCTTACTCCCACTTCCATCCCCTTCAGAATATAAACTCTTGTCTTCGTTCCCTTCCAGCCCCCGCCCCCCAAAATTCCTTCCCAATTCCTCACAAAGTGGTGATCATTTAGTTGTTGTTAAGCGTCAGTTCTGATTCATCACGACCCTGCATACGCTTTCCAACTTTTCGAAAGGGATTTTTTCTTTTGTAAAGGGATTTTAAAAGACAAATTGTTTCATCTTCAGAATCACGCTCAAGCTCTTATCTCATCGGTAAATTCATGTTTGTATTCCCACAACCTTAGATCACATTTGTTGTCTGAAACTGGTCACGGCGCAGCGACCACAGACATCTGCTTGTTAGAAAAAACAAAACCTCTGTTGCTAGAAACCAGTCCAAGGTTTGAGAAGGGCCAGAGGAACGTAAGTTAGATGCGGCACAGCGAACTGAAGTTCAGTAGAAATGAGCTCCGGTAGTTTTTCTGATGATAATTTCACAATTAGCATACCGCTACCCAATGCTCTATATGAACTTAAAACGTTCAGCAGTGCGCAGTTCGAATTCTCAGTGGTACATAGTACGAGTTTATGTAATACCACATCCAGGTGTATCGCTATTGAAATAGCAACGAGCCGCAAAAACACACACACACACACACACACACACACATACAAAAACAGACAAAGGGTGGGACTGAGCCAAAACACGTTCTAAGCCTGAACTTTACGCTGCATAAAGCCCCGACACAAAATGGCGCCCTTCGCGAAAAGCTGGAATGGGGTAAAAGAGCCCCTCACGCGAATTGTGCACGCGCCCGGGCTCGCCCCGGGCGACGCTAGAAGCTACGTTCGAGCCAAACTGACGTAAGCGCGGCTATCCAATGAGCTTTATAGTTAGTTTCCACCCACGTTTTCTGACACAACCTGCGCACCTGCGCTCCAGGCTCTACTCCGGCCATCACTTGCGCAGCCGCAATAGGCTCCGCCTCCCACGCACCTGACGCAAGCCAACTGTAATCATTTCGCAATTTATCCCGTGTGACCTTGAGTCTTTCCTGCCACGAAAGACCAGGGCTGTCCGATGTACTGCCTTCATATGCCTCTTAGCCTCGTTGCCTCTCCGTGAGCCCCGACCTGCCGCGACAGGAACGGGAGAACACTCTTTTTCCAGCCATCATGTTGCGGATCATATGATCAGTACGCCGTGATTCCGGAAGCGGAGGTTAGAGAGTCTATTGTCAGGCGGTGCGGACGGCGCCTCAGAGGAAAAGCGGGCCTGCGGGTTGCAGTGGCCAACTCTCGCCTCCCACCCCACGTGGTTGGAGGATTCCAGAAGGGCTACTATCGTCGCGCCGCGCCGCGCAACGCAGCTCCGGGCTGTTCGAGCGCCTGTTTGCTGCCCCGTACTCCCACGGTCTATCCGCTATGATAAGCGCCAGCCGAGCTGCGGCTGCCCGTGTGGTCGGCGCCGCAGCCTCCCGGGTCTCCACCGTCGCTCGCCACCAGGTGAGGAATGCTGGGCCTTCCCGGAGGGGCCCATGTCCTCCGGTCTCATTGCGGCAGGCCGCGCCCTTCGAGGGGTCACAATCCTTACGCAGAAAGCGGGAGGAAAGGAAAATAACGGGCCCTCGTTAATTAGCATTGCTGGCTCAAGGCCCTACTCGAGATTTTATAACGTACCGTGTGCCTTGCTGAGTCACAGCCCTCGCGTTGTAGTCTTAGCTACAAGTGGTCCTTGTAGCTGTTAGTGGTCCTGACTCGAGTGTAGCGGCTAAACAGGTTTGTCCTTGGGAAGGGAGGGTTGCAGACTTTTCATCCAAGTTTTGTCCTTTCCCGCAGTTGTTCCCCCTTTGTAAAGTACGGTCTATTCAGGGACTTTGCTGCTGTGATAAAATGTAGATAAGCACCTAATAAGAAAACAAGGCTTCTTTTCTATGTAGGAACAGTATGTCCCAAAATCATTGTTATAAAACTGTCCTAGTTCGTTTCACGAAAAATAAACAGATCCAGGGAATGACCATGGAGTGGTTGCAGATTATCATCTGAAACCAAGAACTAGAATTTGGAGAACAGGGTTTAGAAAAGAATTGAAATTGCTTAAGGTTAGATCGTAATGAATGTTTTCCATCCTGGTGGGAAGTTACTGCTGGGAGAAAAAAAAATTTTTTTTTTTAATTTAAATCCCTATCATGAAATTGGTAAGTATCTCCATCTTGTATTTGCATTAGTTCTCGACCAAGGGAACATTTGACAATGACTAGATCCTTTTTACTTAACTTTTTGTGAATTGAGTGAAGGCTTACAGATCGGATCCTCAGTTTTACATTCATTATGATTGCAGTCCCCTTTATGTGCCATCAACCTTTTTTTGTTGGTACAACTTGGGGAATAGAGTGCTGCTGAGGGATACTGTTAAAGAAGAGCCCCTGGCAACAAATACTTGGTTCATGTCATTACTGAGGTTGAGAAACCTTGGTGTAATGCAATCGAAGGCAGCTCTACATCAATTTATTTGAAATATTTGTACTATATTGAAATTTATTTGTTGTTTCATACCACAGTGCCTTTTGTACATGAAACATCAATTCATTCCACTGTGATTTTTATGTGGTAGTCACTCATTTAACAATGAAAGTCACAGTTTCAACTCTAGAAGAATGGTTGGAACAAGCCCATTTTTCATAGTTAATGATGTAACTTCATTTCTTTTTTAGGATAGCTGGAAAGGCCTTAGTCATGAGGCTTTTAGAATTGTTTCACGCCGGGACTATGCGTAAGTGTACCTTCATTTCCTTTGAAAGATACACAAATTGAACACTAATGCAATGGCCCTAAATTTGGGATTAACTGTTATCTCTCAGAAAACTATGCTACCCATGTTACAATTACTTACAGGTTATGTAACAGGCTATCAATTCCTGTATCAAATAATTATTTCTTGCTTATTTCTCCTTGCAGCAATTTTGGAGGCCACTTTTAAGATAACAACAACCCTGGCATTGTTTTAAATGTCTTACAGGTCAGAAGCAATCAAAGGAGCAGTTGTTGGTATTGATTTGGGTACTACCAACTCTTGTGTGGCAGTTATGGAAGGTAAACAAGCAAAGGTGAGCATGAATGAGACCTGGTGGTTCCGCGGTTTATATTTTCAAAGTTCCTTTTAGGTTTTTAAGTGTGTCTCTTGTTATAGAGGTAGAGTTGTTAACTAGGCATTTGAACCAGTTCTTTGCAGTTCAGTCATGGCCAATGAAGCAAAAGTAGAATGGACCCAAGTTTTATAAAATGGATGTACCAAGTGAAACCCATTGTTATCAAGTCCATTCTTACTCATAACAACACTACATTGGACAGTAGAAATGCTCCGTAGCCTTTCCGAAACTATATCTCTACAGCAACAGACAGCCTCATCTTTCCGAATTGGATTGGCTGATGGGTTTGAACTGCTGATTCTGTAGTTAGCAGTTCAGTGCTTAGCCCACAGCACCACCAGAGCTCCTTGTAGGTGTGCCAGAATGGGGAAAATTACGTGTCAACTCCCTGGTAGAAACTTAATCTCACCCTTAGAAAACAAGGCATAGCAACCAAATCTTTGCTGGCATAGCTGGAACCAGTGTTGACCTAGTCACAGATTATGGCCAGCTGGGAAGCTTTGAATGTGTGTTGCTCTCCAAAAGGCTTCAGAGCCATAGTTTTTCTTGTTCTGGTACAGGCATGTTTTACAAATTTCAGTGTTCTATTTTTATGAGTAAAATGGTTCAAAAGCTGCTCTCTGCTGACCGTTAGATTTTGCTGGGATGACTCACACTCCTGTAATCATAATCTTGCATTTTTGTCAGTCAAACCGTGACCCAAAACCAGTTAGAAGCAAGTGGAGCTCCAGGGAAGTCGGGCTACATGTAAAGTCATGTTCTTGGTGGTAGTGGCTATGTGCCGTGGAGTCAATTCCAACCCATAGCCACCCTGTGTAAGGGTTTCCAAGGCTATAAATCTTTACAGGAGCAGAGAGCCTCATCTTTCTTCCACAGAGTAGCTAATAGATTCAAACTGCTGACCTTGTAGTTAGCAGCTCAACGTGTAACTCACTATGTAACCCAAGGCTTCTTTTAAGCTTGTTCTTATTCATAGCTAATCTACTGTCCAGTAGTACTTACTGTGTTAGCATTCACTGAGCAGTAAAATGTGCCCATTAGTACTGTTTGCAAGCCTTTGTGATATGGGACATGTTGAATCTCTATGACTTTTGATGCAAAGACACTGGTGATGACAAAAACTTCCCTGTCTTTCCTTGGGAGTGTTAGGTGCTGGAGAATGCTGAAGGTGCCAGAACTACACCTTCAGTTGTGGCCTTTACAGCAGATGGTGAGCGACTTGTTGGCATGCCAGCCAAGCGGCAGGCTGTTACCAACCCAAACAACACATTCTATGCCACCAAGCGTCTCATTGGTCGCCGGTTTGATGACTCTGAAGTCCAGAAAGACATGTGAGTAGCAGCAAAAACATAGTTGTTTGGAGGGACCTCATTGAAGAATCATTGAGCACTGTAATCAGGATCTTCAGGGGCATGTTCTGCCCCTATCCAAAGGGTATCTACTTCATTTTCTTTACTAATGCCCTCATAGATTAGTCTTTCTTCACCATATACTAACATTATTTGAAGTTTTGGCTTGGTATTTCTGACTAGGCAAACTGGTATTGACCACATAAAGAAGGCAAGTCATGGGATAGATGCCATCAAGCAGAGCTTCCAGGCTAAGATGGGCTAGAAAGGAAGGCCTGTTGATCAACTTCCAAAAATCAGCCAGTCCCAGATGATCATGGATGTAGTCCAGGGTACAGGACCAGGCAACATTTTCTTCCACTGTGCATGAGATTCCTATGGGTTAGGTACTAACTCGGTGTCAGCTAACGACAAAGGATATTGAGGTTTCACCGTGGTGTTTTCACATTAATGATTACATTTGAATGGTTTTCATTAAATGAATTCCTAAAGCTCTTTTTTTTATTGGCTGTGGGTTTCATGGGTGGAGAATGGACATTCATGAACAAAGGGTGCACTAGCAAGTTTTCCTCACATGGAGTTTTTGTGACTTTCAGTAAAAATGTTCCCTTCAAAATTGTCCGTGCCTCCAATGGTGATGCCTGGGTGGAAGCACATGGGAAACTCTATTCTCCAAGTCAAATCGGTGCATTTGTGTTGATGAAGATGAAGGAGACTGCAGGTGAGTAGACTGTAGTAGACATCTGGGGAAGTTCAGAGAACTGGGTGATTTCTCTGAGATCACTGACTTTTATACCCCAGGATCCCTTAGATGAGACTGTGGTTTCTTTTTACAGAACACCCAGTGAAAAACTTTCTTACTCTTTATACTTTCCTTCCAGGATGAATTTATCTTTTACGTTTTCCTTAGTGCTTTTTTTTCCCCTCATATTATCTAGAGAGATAATGTCCTGTATTTACCGTTGTTGAGTAAAACTTAGAACTTCCTATTTGAAGACACTTAGCCAATTAAAGTCTGACAATAGGTCATTGACAAACGTATTTCTGAGCATGCAGTCATGTTTGGTAGCTTGGTGATCTGTTATTTAAATATTAAAGATGAGCTCTAGGGTTTTCTGCCAGTAATTTAATTGTATTTTTTTAAAAAATCTTTATGTATTAGATCAATTCTGTCTACAGAATCCCATGGTTTAATTTTCTTTCTTTTCCAGAAAATTACTTGGGTCATGCAGCAAAAAATGCCGTTATCACAGTTCCAGCTTATTTCAATGATTCTCAGAGACAGGTAAGGTCACTTAGCGTTCTTATTCATGAAAATTAATGGTACTTATGTGAAAAGTCATAACGAGATGGATCAGCCAGGTGGCATCATTGATGGACTCAAGTGTGGCAGCAGTAGTGAGGTTGGCCCAGGATCGGACATTGTTTCATTCTGCTGTGCATGGGGTCGCTATGAGTCGGTTCCGACTCAATGGCACCTGACAACAACAACAATGTGAAAAGTCTGGGGAAGTGCTAATATTTTCTGTGTTTTTGTAGGCCACTAAGGATGCTGGCCAGATCTCTGGATTAAATGTGCTTCGGGTGATCAATGAACCTACAGCTGCTGCTCTGGCTTATGGGCTGGACAAATCAGAAGATAAAATGTAAGTCTGTCTGATGATCTGTTCTATAAACCTTTGACTCAACTAAAAATAAAAATTTTCGAACAAATGTAAGTGTAAGTTTATGCAGTAAATTCCACCTGAATATGTGAAACTAAAATTATGGAATCATCAAATTTGTCCTGAAGTGTCTTGATTTATCGGTGATTGAGTTTTGTAGTTAGACTGAAAATGAACTGCCTTGCCTTGATCAGCATTTTCCATTCAATTTAAGTACTAGGCCATGGTGATTCTTACCTTGATACGCATGTTGGCAAGTATTTATCCAAAAGTGTTGCTGGCATGGTCAGTTTATTACTTTCAAAAAGCAAACTTCGTTTTAATTTTAGCTGTGTATGTTTTAAATGTTAAAAGATAATCACTTGGGCGGTTGTAAAACAATAATTAACAACAAATACCTACCTCAAGAAAATAAGTTCATGTTCATTTGGTTCTTGAAATTTATGCCCTTGTGGTAGGTTTTGTTTCATAATGCCTTTTTTGTTTTGTTTTAAAGCATTGCTGTATATGATTTAGGTGGTGGAACTTTCGATATTTCTGTCTTGGAAATTCAGAAAGGAGTGTTTGAGGTAAAATCCACCAATGGAGACACTTTCTTAGGTGGAGAAGACTTTGACCAGGCCTTGCTACAACACATTGTAAAGGAATTCAAAAGAGAAGTAAGTTAACCAGTGTGGTGCTGACAGTTTTTTGTTCAAGTTGCTGTTTGCTTTGTTAACAATTTAACCAGCAATGGTGAGTGACTGGTGTTGCATCTTTATTTCAGTGGCTTAATGGAACTATTCTGATTATTGCTGCTCAGGTTGTGAGCAAACAACAGTATTAAAAGGATACAGCATTCACTGTACAGTACTGGGAAAGAAATGATAGGGATTCCTTTTTTTGAGCTAGAATGTTAGAGCTGAAAAGAACCAGTTCATTTCTTACTCCAAGCTCAGATTCCCTTCTCAGAGTTGAAAATTTTTTTGAGAGAAATGAAAGGAATTATTTTATTCTTACTTATATGTATGATTTTTTTTCTTACTGTGACAACTTTTAATGCTTGTATTGTTTTCACTGTATAGTCAGGGGTTGATTTGACCAAAGACAACATGGCACTGCAGAGGGTACGGGAAGCTGCTGAAAAGGCCAAGTGTGAACTCTCCTCATCTGTGCAGGTGAGATAATGGGAAAATCACAGCAATCTTAATGGATCTGAGTCTATTTGAATAACATATCTTAATTGACCTGGTGACAGTCTGATCTTTTTAGTTTCCTGGTTGGTGGAAAAAGCCATTGTGTGTAATGGAGCATTATGAGACTTTGTTTTTTTATAGATGAGCTGACATTTTTCAACCACCCAATTCAGAAGCTGTGTTTATTGGAACCAAATAATTATATTGACATTTCAATGACTTTGTATATGCTTGTTTGTCTTTATTAAAGACACTGATGTCACTGTTTTGTATTGATTTTTTTAAATGCAGTCTAGTGGTGTGTAAAATTTAAATTGTTAGTGCTGTGGAGTCAGTTCCAACTCATTTCAACCCTGTATAGGGTTTCCAAGGAGCAACTGATGGGTTTAAATTATCAGCCTTGCAATTAGTCTAGTGCCTATCTTATAGGGCCACACCAGGACTCCAAAATTAAAATTACCAGCCCGCAAGAATTAAGGCTCTCAGAACTGCTACTGTGTTCACTTTAAAACACCTTGTGAATTGTATGAGCCTCTCATTGGCCCTCTTTTAATTACTTGGGTCACCAGTCCAGCAAATGAGCTTGCAACCAGGCATGTGTTATGATTAGGTTTATCTGTCTGCGTGAGTTTCCCTCTGAGCATATTTGCTCAGCCTCTTTTTAAAAACATTAGTGTGGTTTGCTGTTTTAAAAGGTGGGGCTTCACTTTACCTTAATGACCCATTATACAGAGCATGTTGCAGGAGGATGGTTTCCAGGTTCTTGGCTAACTACGGGAGAGCAGAGATTGTGACTGCAATCTGTGGCTACTATTTTGTTTGATCTCTTATGCTGGGAGAAGAGAGAGTAATTTGTAAAAGCTGTCATTGTATCGGAAAGTGGTCTCTGCTAGTTAACTATCAATCACATTTTGTTTGGTTTTTTTCCACTTAGCATCTGTGAAGTGTAAAATAGTATAAACTTATCTATAAGGTGCTTTGTCCCTAATCAAACTTAGAAATATGGTGTTTAGGTTTGGAGTTAGTATCCACTGCCAGAGGATAGGTTCCCAAGGACTTGGCACTTTTTTGCAGAAGTGTTGAAGGACGTTTTATTTAGTGTAACTATTCTCTTGGTGTAAGCGTTTATATTATTTCCTAGAATTTTGCTATTTTAACAAGATGTGATATATTGAGTATTATGCATCCTTGTAATTTCATACTTGTTACTCATAGGCTAAATTCCTATGATGTAGAGGTGGACATTCATTATAAAAGATAATGTCAAATCAGAAGTAGTTTATTAAGATTTGGAATACAGAGTGTAGTTTAGATATTTAGACACCAAGGTTCAAGACAGGATTGTTTATAATAATGATAAAGTGGGAAGACCCACCTGTCCATCAATGAATAGGTAACAAAATGTGGAATATACACACAATGGAATATTTTTCAGCCATAGAGAGAAACAGTTCTGGTACTTACTATGATATAGATGAAGCTGAAAACAATTTAAGTTGTAGAAGACACAAGGGGGGTGGGGGGGAACTATTGTATGATCCCAATAACATGAACTATCTAGATAAGGCATATGCATAGAGATGGAAGTTTATTAGTGGTTTCCAGGGGCTGGGAGAAAGGGAAGATGCAGGCAGAATCTGATAGCATAACTTACTGTGCAACCTTGGGTGGTTATTTAACATTTGTTTATTTTCATATCTACAAAATGAGGGTAATAATGGTTCCTTCCCCCTTAGAGTTACCAAATTTATACATGTAGTGTAATATGCAGTGGCAGTCACAATAGGCTCAAACATACCTACAAAGTGAGGCTGGCACAGGACTGGGCAGTGTTTCTTTCTGTTGTAAGTAGGGTTGCTTTGAGTCAAGAAGGACTCAATAGCACCTAACAGTATAATGCTTAGAACAAAGTGTACTGCATAAGTGCTCTATAAATGTAAGCTATTATTTAACAAATGCTACAAAGGAAAGGCAGGCTTATCATATGGGAACCTGACCTAGGTGTTTGGTATATTAGCCTAACTTTGGAGAAATGAGATGACCAAAAATAGATAAAAGTGGGTATCATGGTCCTGGTGTGTGTGGCATTGTGGGTTAATGAATTGGACAGCAAGGTCAGTTTGAACTACAAGGTTGGCACTTCAAGCTCACCAGCTGCTCCTCAGAAACCCTGTACAGGGTTATTATGGGTCAGAACTGACTCAACAGCACTTAACAACAACATAGTAGGCTCTGGAGTGAGAATGAGATCTGAAAGGGGGCCAGTGTGGCTGAAGTAAAATGAGGGTGGGAAAGCCTGGAAGATGAGGCCAAGGGTAGATTTGGTTATCTTCTCCTGAGATGAGTGAGTGCTAACCACTGGAAGAGTTTTATTTTGGAGAAGTAATATTTTGATTTGTGAGAAATACTCTGCCTCAAGGGGCATGCATGGAGAATTGTTTTGTGGGTGATCCTGTGGCAGAGGGGCAGGCTTGGTGGATGTAGGAAGATAATTCACAGCTTATTGTAGTCCACCATGTAATGGGAGAGGATAAGAATGTGGTAGTGAGAGTTGCTGGGTTTGATAGAAAAGCAGGCAGATGGTATAAGTTAGAGAGAATTTTTTGATGATTGAGAGTTCATATTGCTGAAATTTTTTCACATTGTCCGTAATTTTTTTTAGAGTTTACATTTATGCTAATATGATAGATCTACATATTAAAATTAGACAAAATTTCAACTTCCATTATCTTACTTACACTGGCCTTAGTTTCAGGCTTACAGAAATGGCATGGGGGGAGAATCAGAATCACCATCAGCCAAAGTTGATTGGTATTCCTCTAACCTTCTTTACCAATTCTGACATCAGTTTTCCCTCCCACAGCATTCTCTACTTCTGCCACGTTTAATAATTCACTGCAGTGGCCACACAGACCTCACAGGTCCATACGCATGATTATAGCACTTATTAGGCAATTTAAGTGGTTACCATTTTTCTATCACAGCTCTGTCTCTGGTTGAACAGGTACAGCATGGAGAACCTGGAGTACAAAGGACTTGCTCCATTCCTGATTCTTTTTTTAAAAGCTTTTATTGTGAATTAAGTGATAGCTTACAAGGCAGATCATCAGTTTTGCGCTCAACCAATTGTATTTTTTTTTCATTGCAATAATTACAATCCCCTCCATGCACCATCAGTTAACAGTATTTGTCTCTTTCTTTTTGATGTGCACAAAACACACAGAAAATATATATTCATTTAAATGACCAAAGGGCACATTATGCAAGCCAGCCTCCTGCCTGCTAGCACACAGCCTTTCTCATTCCATGGGGCTGGAGTCCTGGCTCTTCTTGCTTGATGATAACTAAATTCCCCCTTTCCACTTCTGAGGTGACTCATTAAAAATCAAGCAGGGTAGTAAAACTGATCGATCCTAATGTTAGAATTCCATCCACAGTAGTTTTCTGATGCCATGTATATATCTAATTTAACATTATTAGTAAGCTGTTAAGTCCCTTTGGTGGGCCCAAAGACTTCATAATTGCATGCAGTCCTACCAACTCACTTGGTAGACCTTACAAAGATTATGCTAGAAGCGCCATATCAAGTAATTAACTGCGTTGAAGGGGTTCTGTGGCCATACGTGGTTAATGGCTACTGAATTGGACAGCACAGATAATTGGATAGGGTCAGTTTAAATCACTGACATTTTGCAAGGAAGGTAATTGTCAGTGATGTAATTTGTTGTTTTTAAACTTTTTATTGTGAGTGAATAAAGGTTTACAGAGCAGATCATCAGTTTGACATTCAACCAATCATATCCTTCATTTCCTCTAACTGGTTGCAATCCTAATATAATTTCACTTATCCCACTTTGTCCCTGTGGGTTTTTTTTGGGTTTTTTTTTCCTTGTTCTATTCCTTCTCTTTCCCAACCCTTCTGAATTTTGTACTTAGGTAAAAGCTGCCCTTTTGATCTTGAGTAGTTGACCATTCTATGGTGTGAGTACCTCACTGGTGGTGGTGTTCCCCTTACATATCTATTGCTTGGTTAGTTCAGTTCCAGGCCTGAACCTTCTTTAACTTTTCTTTAAAAGCTGTACCCAGTATCACTTTTTTAAAACATACAGAGATGTGTTGATTTAATTGTTAAGAATTTAAATGGCTAAGAACCACCTGAAAAACAAAGGTCGTTAACAACCTTTCTTTACTTGCTGTTGACCTTACTTTGATGTGAAGTTGGATGGGGTTCAAAAGGTAATTCTGGTACTGAGGATTCACCCCAGGGCGACTGTTGATAGCATATTCAGTGTTGAATTTTGTTAGTGTAAATATTCTTAGTGATACATATGAGATCCCATGCCTTACTGGAATCTGGGGTTTACTAAGTACTGGGTGCTACTGTTCACTGCTCCCCACGAATGTGATGGCAGTACAACTTTTAATCCATGTACTTTTTTGTTCAGGAATATTTCTACAGCTTTCTTGGCATCTTCCTGAAACTTACAAAGCCACAGTTGGTGGCAGGTTATTTCTTTCAGAACATATCATCTTTTGATATCCTTCTTCATGTACATTTGAGGTATTTTTAAACTTGATGAAAGGGAAAACATTGATGTCTACAGAACTGGGATAGTTCTGAATTGTCTATTCTTCTTTATTAATAACTATAAAGCCTGTTGTCGTCAATTTTGACTCATAGTGACTATAGAACAGAGTAGAACTGCCCTGTAGGGTTTCCAAGTTGTAATCTTTACAGAAGCGAGCTGTCACATCTTTTCTCCCACAGAGAGGCTGGTGAATTCAAATCTCTGACATTTCAATTAACAGCTGAGCACTTAACAACTGCGCAGCCAGGGGTCCTTTTTAATAACTGTAAGCCGAATTTACTTCCATCAAGTTGTTTCTGATTCAGCACAACCTTGTATACGGGTTCAGAGACTAAGTCTTTATGAAAGCAGGAAGCCTCATCTTTCTCTCATGGAGAAGCTGGTGGGCTTGAGTCTCTGACCTTATAATTAGCAGTCCAGTGCTTACAGAGCCACACCAGGACCCTTAACCTTGAGTATTGTTGTTGTTAAGTGCGTTTGAGTCAGTTCTGACTCATAGCGACTCTACAGTTTCTGAAGAGCACCTGGTGAATTTGAACTGCTGACCTTACAGTTCAAACCAACCTTGCCTTCCAGTGCAGTATCCCAAAGCATCTCACCACACCGCATTAAAACAAATTCTTTGGTGGCTCTTCCATTTAAAGTAGTACAAAGTAGGTCTTAACCTTTACTGTGGCATCCTAGTCTTCTTGTGTATGATTTTAGATTGAATTGGAATAGTAAAGAAACTTTATCGCCTGTGGTGACCTCATTGACATTCAATTAAAACACTTTTTTTCCAGACTGACATCAACTTGCCATATCTTACAATGGATGCTTCTGGACCCAAACATTTGAACATGAAGTTGACCCGGGCTCAATTTGAAGGGATTGTCACTGACCTAATCAGGAGGACGATAGCCCCATGCCAAAAAGCCATGCAAGATGCAGAAGTCAGCAAGAGCGACATAGGAGAAGTGATTCTTGTTGGTGGTATGACTAGAATGCCCAAGGTATGGGTCCATGTTCTTGTCACAAAGAGAAGACTTAGAGTCCACACATGTTTTCTTAGCACACGTGACTTACGTTGTATGCTTGTCATTGAGTTGGTTAACCAACTCATAGTGACCCTGGGTTACTGTATAGGAATGTGAATATAGGCCCTATTTTGCTAGGATGATCTGAAGGGGGCGGAGGTGAGTTTGTACCTTCTCAGCCGTTTTATTTTTAATTCAAGGGTATAAGAGAAGAGGGAATTAGGAAGGACAAAATGTCTTTGAGGTGATAAGGAAAATCCTAAACTTACATAAAATATTCCGGAATGAAACAGTGTTTGAGATCAGAGATAGCTTAAGACCTTGAAAGTAACTAGTTGTAAAAGGCTCTTTTGGACATATGTCTATAGTATAGTGTCTGGGGTTTCTAATTGTATCTCTTCAACAAAGATCTGTGCAATGATGCTTTTTCTATTAAACACATCATTCTGAAAACAGATGTGTAGAGAACTAAATGACTGAGCACAGAACCTGTTGAAAGTACAATTCTTGTATTGCTGTCTGAACAGAATTGTCTTGGTCCTGAGTTGGTGACTTGAATAATTTCTTAAATTTTCCTTTGGAATATAAGAATTTAGGAAAATATGAACAGTGTGTATATTCAAGTACCTTTTTTCCTTAGTGCTAGCTAGTAAAGTAAGATGCTGAGGAAAGATGATATACAAGCTACATTGATTACTAGTATTGAATTATTACTAGGGCTTCTTTTAAATTAATGTGTAGACCAAGATGGACTATACAATTTCTAAGTCCCTTTGCCTTGCATCCTCTAGATTTAAGTATATGAATGTTACTTTCATGATAAATTTATATCTGGTTATTAACAAGAACTCAACTAGGAAATAGTAATTTGAGAAAACATTCTTGGTTATGAAACAGCCTGTCCTGAGATTTGTTGAAGGCTTATGACAGAAATGCTCTCACTGTTTTTTTCCTAGCAGAGCCACTGAGTGTTACATGATATATTCTTTCTCCTTGGCTCAGGTTCAGCAGACTGTGCAGGATCTTTTCGGACGAGCCCCAAGTAAAGCTGTTAATCCTGATGAGGCTGTGGCCATTGGAGCTGCCATTCAGGGGGGGGTGTTGGCTGGTGATGTCACAGATGTACTTCTCCTGGATGTCACTCCTCTGTCTCTGGGTATTGAAACTCTGGGAGGCGTCTTTACTAAACTCATTAACAGGAACACCACTATTCCAACAAAAAAGAGCCAGGTAAGAACCACGTCTTCCTTACCTGGTCTCTGAGATAGTAGATTCTGTGATGGATATGAATATAACCATTTTTGGGAATTTTCTCAAAAACTTGGCTTTTTGTTAACAGTCCAGACGAGTTGGTTGTACAGACTAAGAATTTTGGTTTTTGTACCTGGAAAAAGTTCTCCTTACCTGTCAACCAGCGTAATGATTATAGGGAGGGCACTAATTGTCTCTACATCACAGGATTAATACTTTGCCAAAAGCAGCCCCCAACATTTATGAATGATTTCTTTTATTCTGTTCTCGCAATTAAAAAAAAAAAAAAAAATGTCCGGGCCCAGACTATGGGAATGATGGGGCTCCAATATACCAAGCAGGGCAGTTTGGAAATGGTTTGATTTTCTTTGAGGGCTTCAGAAAAATCATGGAAAAATGGAACTTCTCCACAAACTTTTTAAAGCCCGCTTGTATTAAGAATTACATCCTGATCTTTCCCATCTTTTCTTAACTTTCCTAAAAAACCGGCTACTGCTATATTTGTTCAATGATATATTTGCCAGCACATTATTCTGAAGAAAAGTATGTGTGGTGACTTCCTGTGTGTGAGCACGAGATATATATCCTGTCTTTGATCTGTTGTCCCAGATGAACATGTTACTCTATGCCCTTTCCTGCCCTTATCCTACTCCTGTTCCCTAAAGACAGTATTTGTTTTGAACACAGTGTACATGAAAATCTTTCTGGTATTAGGATGTGAATTTCTATTTCTGACTTGCATTCTGTCTGCAAAAAGTAGTAGAAGGGAGTAGTTTAATCACACTGCCAACCCAAAATGTTTCCTTCCACCGTAGGTGTTTTCTACAGCTGCTGATGGACAGACGCAAGTAGAGATTAAAGTGTGCCAGGGTGAGAGAGAGATGGCTGGAGATAACAAACTTCTTGGACAGTTCACTTTGGTAGGTATTGTGAATTCTGAATATTGTGCTCCTTAATCTCTTTACTATAGTTAGACTGTATAATATCCCCTAAAGACATATGAGTTCTGGTGTGGCCCCGTGGGTTAATGCATTAGACTGCAAGATTGGTTTGAATCACAAGGTCGGTGATTCATGCTCACCAGCTGCTCCTTGGAAACCACCCAATACAAGGTTGCTATGAATTGGAACTGACTCAACAGCACTTAATATATATAGTAAATTATAGACATAAACAGACATATGCTATTTATGTAGAGGAATTCACCAATGCTAAACTCTTTACCTGAAAACCTTGCTTGTTCCTTTCTTAGGAACTTCATTAAGAAGTTGATAAATACAAGAGTCAGGGAAATATTCAGAAACAGTGCCAGTAGAGAAATTCCTTGAGTTCTCCTGATGAATAATTTTTAAAAGATAATTTGATTTCTGTTGTCTAATCAGCATTGCTTATTGGTTCTTATTGAGCTTAGCAGTGGTGGGGAGATTTGCTCAGTCACTGTGCTTATAGGTACATTAGCAATGATGATAGGTACTTGTAAAATCAATCTTCACTGCAGTAAAAGAGCTACCACCATTACTTAAAAATGTGGGGTTTATTTTTTTATTAACTAAAGGTTTTCATGTGTTACTCCCATGAATCAAGTGAATTATTCCCCCAGAAGACTATATATAGATTTGGAAATACAGTACTAGACCCTTATGTGAGCAGAGCTTATTCTGGATATTTTTGGGTTTAGATTGGAATTCCCCCAGCTCCTCGTGGCGTCCCTCAGATTGAAGTTACATTTGACATTGATGCCAATGGGATCGTACATGTTTCTGCCAAAGATAAGGGCACGGGACGTGAGCAGCAAAGTAAGTCCTCTTATTTATCTGACTGTGCTCCTTGGAAGCCCTGTATAGGGTTGCCATGAGTTGGAATTGACTCCATGGCACTTAGAAACAAGAGTAAGACATCTTGGAGTTCCTTTGTTGAGCACTATAGTCCCTGGGTTGTACATATCTATTTCACTCAGTCTCCTCTTTCTGCTTTAAGAGTACTTCAAGAGTACCTCTTTCTACTTGTTTTAAGGTCTTAACATTGTGTTTACCACTCAAAAACAAGCAAACACTGGATTGCTAACGTTTCAGCTGGCAAACCTGTTGATTTTTTAACAGAAATGGGCAGCTTGATTTCAGACCCTTGATCTCTTTAGTGTTTACTATAGAACAAAGTGTTCTCCTTCATAGTTTGTATCAAGATTGGCTACTCTGAATAGGAACACTCCTAATGTGGTTTACTAATAGAGGCACTTCTGGGAAACTAATAAGTTACTTTTTTAAATTGTAGTTGTGATCCAGTCTTCTGGTGGCTTAAGCAAAGATGATATTGAAAACATGGTTAAAAATGCAGAGAAGTATGCTGAGGAAGACAGGCGAAAGAAGGTGATTTATCTTTTCATTTGTGAACTTATTTTGATAAAGCTTAATCTTCTTAATGAAGTGGGTAAAGGGTAACAGATTAGTTTTCCATTCATAAACATTTTATGTCATTAATTATCCCTACAATATAATATCACATTCCACTTACTCCCTGTGATTCCTGTTTCCTTTCCTAGACCTTGATCTCAAATGGTATTTCAAGGTGTGCATACCTCCCCTATGTCGGTGGTTCAAGCTCACTAGCTGCTCCTTGGAAACCCTATACAGGGTCACTATGGGTCAGAATCGACTCGACGGCACTTAACAGCAACAACAAAAAATACCTCCCTAGAGTTGTGTTCCCTTATAGACCTATTGTTTGACTGAAAATTGAGCCATGAGTGTTCGTTTCCAGACCTAAAGGGCATCTATAAAGCTTAATCTTTGTAAAGCTGAGAATTTTCACATGCCCTTGACCTTACCCTCTTAATTTGATCATAACTTACACTGGAATGTCCTTCTTCCTTTATTAAAATTTCTTGAGTCCGTCTCAAATCCTTCTTGAAGTTATCTCAGATTACCCTATACCCCAGCTGATAAATTTTTTTGTTGTTTGTGTGTATAATTGTAAGCGCTTTGTATGTAGCAGTCAGCATATTATCTTGCCCAGTGTAGACATTCAGCACACTTGGTTGATTAGAGAATCTTCATTCATACTGAACTAATATCTTTCAGGAACGAGTTGAAGCAGTTAACATGGCTGAAGGAATCATTCATGACACAGAAACGAAGATGGAAGAATTCAAGGACCAATTGCCTGCTGATGAGGTAAGACATAATTTAAAAAGGCTCAGTAAGTTGGTAGGCATTATCACCAGCGTCACTGATGTTCATTGTTCTGCGTAGTCTTACCTAGAGCCTTAGTTTTTTTGTTGTTGTTTTTAGTCCTTTCTTTAATATGACTGGTACATGGAAAGGAATAGTAGAACTTGGAAAAAGAGGACTTTTTTTTTTTTCCCCTCCTAAGTGCAACAAGCTAAAAGAAGAGATTTCCAAAATGAGGGAGCTCCTGGCTCGAAAAGATAGTGAAACTGGAGAAAACATAAGGCAGGCAGCATCTTCCCTTCAACAAGCTTCTTTGAAGCTCTTCGAAATGGCATACAAAAAGGTACAAGGGCTGAAGGGTTCTGCTTAACGTAGATTTTGCTTCTAATTTGATGTAACTTCTTGATTACCATTACTGATGACTCCTTGCATAACCATATTTGAAATTGGGAATGAGGATTAACACTGAAAAGATCTTTCCTTTTTTGACTCTTGGATTAATAGTTCGGGTCAAAGAGAAAGAATCACAGAAACCACCAATAATTTGTAAGACTGGGGGAGGGAGGATAAAGACTATGTGGCTACTTCAGTTTTGAAGTTCAACAATGATCAGCCCTAACGAAGTTTGAGTTTCTCTTGAATGTTTTTTTAACAGATGGCATCTGAACGAGAAGGCTCTGGAAGTTCTGGCACTGGGGAGCAAAAGGAAGATCAAAAGGAGGAAAAACAGTAATAGTAGTAAACTTTGGAGCAAAAAGGAAAACATGAAGCTTCGGAGTAAAGTGACTTCCTGAGCAGAAATGGGCAAACTTCAGTCTTACTGTGTTTTTGCAGTATTCTATATATAATTTCCTTAATATGTAAATTTAGTGGCCATTAGCTAATGATCATTTAATGAGTGATAAGTTCCAACAATACACAGTTCACAATGTCTGTCCCTAGCCTATCATTTTTCAGTTGCATGTAAAAAAGGGGGGGAAGGACAGTGTATTGATCATTATAAAGACGTAACATTGTTTTGTGCTAATGTGGCCATATTTTCAAGGGATGGCAACCTTCTCACATAATGAAAGTAATCAGCCATAGGCCTGGAGTGAGACCATTACAGGATGTTAGTCTACTGTTGAGCTGGCCCGTGCATACATGGAGTCCTTCAGCTAAGGCCTAGCAATGCAAGACAACTATGCCTTATTGGTAGGTTAGGTGGGGAAGCTTCATCAATGGGAAACTAAGCTCATTATTCATGTTAGGTACAGCTTTAAAAACAAAGGTAGTAATGAGCTACCTTCTGGTCTGTGTGTGAAAGGCACTTAAATCACCTACATCTTTAATTCTTTTTGATCCATTCTGGATTTTTTTAGGAAAAAATAAATATGAAAAGCATCTTTTCATATTTGTTGAGGGGTGAGGTGTTTAGTTTAAAGAATGTGACATGATTTGTACTTCCTGATTCCCTAACATAAGTCACTTGGGAAATACAGGATTTTGCTGCAAATACTTTGGTAGGGTTAGTAAAATAATGAAGCAGTGTCACTAAGGGCAAGTCTGATTGAAAGAGATATTTCTCCCTTTTGTAGGCTTTTCCTTCCCTCTGTGCCCCCCCCCCATTTTAATTAAATTTGGGATCTTGAAATAGTCTCCAAATAACCTACCTGTCATAAAAACCAGAGCTAGTATTTCAAGCGAGTTGTAGCTCTAAGGATAATAAGTTATGTTGTGTTTTGGGGTTTTTCCCCCATCAGACTTCAATGCTGTAGTTAACACATGCAGAACACATCAGAAGCAGAAAGGTGACAACTAGTATCTCGTTAATTGAGGCTTCTTTCCCAAGTCTCCTGCTGACTTAAATGTCATATGCCCATGACTGCAGGAGTTTATTATCAGTAGCATGGGCTTAGATCCCATTAGACACAATAACTCCTTTTACTGTGTTTGATGTAATAATGATCTAGAATAAAAAACATACACCTTTTTTAAAAAAAACCTAAAATGCATAGGTACACCTTTTTTTAGAAAAACTTTTACATGGGTGTTCAAACACGCATGTAAAAGCTGGGATTCATGTTATAAGCTCAAGTTTTCACGTACTTTAGCTCATAAAATAGTACTCTGTTAATAACTGCTTTGTGACATGCTGGAAGATTATTTAGCTTTTCTAGTTGACTTGTAAGGCTCTGTGGTAGGTTAGTGGTTACGAATCAGGCTGCTAACCTCAGGGACAGCTGTTCCACAGGAGAAAGATGAGGCTTTTTGCTCCCCTGAAGATTTATAGCCTCAGAAACCTTATGCAGGGTCCCTATGAGTCAGAACCAACTCCACAGCACATAACACTTGTCCTTTGACCTCTTATACCTATGTTGTCTCCAAATCAGTGTGGTAACTAAGAAGCCCCTCAGATTTTCAAAACACCCAAATTTAAAACTGGCTTACATTGATGTGTAACTGCTGTTACAACAAACATCCTTTATAAAGACAAAAAGAAATTACTTTTTAGGTATATTCTCCCTTTTGTGTTAATAGTGCTTTCAAAGGTCCCCAAAAGAACTTCTTATTTCCCTCTTACGGCAACTTCTTTCAAGTGATCCAGTTTCAATAAATTGATTCTTACAGCTGCTCCTGGGGTCAAAAAATTTAATTGCCATCTCCATTCCTACCACTTTAGTATAAATCACTTAAGTGCCGTGGAGTCGTTCCAACTCATTGCAACCCTGTATAGGGTTTCTGGTGAATTTGTACTGCAAACCTTGTGATTCAAACTGACTATATGGTCTAGTGCTTATCCTATAGCATCACACTAGGACTACAGTCACTGCATATTTTAGCTGGTCTTCCCAATCACTGACAACTTCGCTACCTTGGTCTTTTCCTTACAGAAGGCAGATTGATCTTTAAAAAGATGTCAAATATTTTACTTTCCTAACATCTACATGTTTCACATGAGCAACTCATTACTACTGTCTTCCTTTTCTCCATAACCTTTAACTGCAATTGGATGTCATGGACTTGACCTTGCTGGAAAGTCATTTAGGTATCTGTTTTCTCCCTTTTTTCCATAAAATTATGAAATCCACATAAAATCACAGCCTCTTTCCTGAGTTTCTATCATTTCCTGTTGCCTTATTATTTTCTTTTCCATGAGGCCAGAGACTTGCTTACTGACATTTTACTGCCTGACATTTTCTTCCAAAAACTTGGATAGTTTTTTCCCATTTTAGATATTAAGGGGTTTTTTTTGTTGTTGGTTTTTTAAATAAATTGTATATTGTACTATCATCTGGGAGAAATTTATACCAATTCCAGAAACTACTTAATTGGTAAAAGTTGTAAATTGGAAAAATTCAAGGAGAAATTGACAGTGATATTTAATAAAGGAAAAAAATGGAGCCTGGAATTTTCCTGAGATAGCTGAGCAGATGGAGTACTGGTGTGATGCTGTAGGATAAACACTGGACCACAAGGTTGCTTTGAAGGTCAGTAGTTTGAATTCACCAGCTATTCCTTGGAAAACCCTATACAGGGACACTTAAGAATGGAGACCAACTCAACAACACAACGCTATTAAGATCTAATATTAATATAGCCATTCCAGCTTTCTTTGATGTATGGTTTATATGGTTAGATACAACTACTTGTGTCTTTATACATAGCAACAAGCTGAGGGGATAGGAGTGACCAGAAAAATTTGCAGCCTTATGATTTATACTTCTCAGATACATGCAGTTCCGTTACTAACAACTGTAATCTTAAGGAAATTGTGCTATTTATCAACTTTGTATTTTGAAATTTTCAAACCTATTAGAAAAGCTATGGTGGTGGTGGTGGTAGATATGTGTGGTCAATTCAGTTCCAACTCCGTGACCCTATATTGGATGTCTAAGACTGTAAATATTTAAGGGTGCAGAAAGCCTCATCTTTCTCCTGTAGAACCACTGTAGTTTTGAACTGCCAACCATAAGGTTAGCAGCCAGACTCAATCATAACCACTACACCACCAGAGTACCTAGAAAAGCTATAGTACTATGAATATTCACATACCATTTAACCAATATTCACCAATTAATATTGGCCACATTTGTTTTCTTTCTCTCTCTCTCTCTCTCTCTAAATATATATATATATATATACCCTGTTGCCATTTGGATTTATGTGTTATAGATTACCAGGCCTTTCAATGTACCTGTGGGTTCAAACTGCCAGCATTTAGTTGGGCTCAAACCATTTGTACCCCTAAGCACCATGATACTTTAACCTAAATACTTAATGTAGCCTGTAAGCATAAAACACCCAACAGTAATCAGAACTAGAAAATTTAACACTGGAACAATGATATCTAATAGGTGGTGGTTATGTTCCAGGGAGTGGGTTCTCACAGCAACCTATACAGGCTTTCTGAGGCTGTAAATCTTTACAGGAGCGGAAAACCTCATGAGGATTTTTAATTCAAATAGTCCATATTCTAATTTTCCTAATTGAGTCAAGGACCTACATGCTATTTAGGTATATCTCCTTTAAGAACAGTTCCTCTCTGCCTTTTGTCATTACATTTTTGAAGGGTATATGCCATTTGTTAGGCTTTTCCCGGCTATTCCTTTGTGGTCAGTCAGGTACACATTGTTGATAGGACATACCGCTTGTATAGTAATATTCCCTATCTGTGCATCAAGTACTTAGGAAGAATAAGATGTTAATTTATTTCAATATTGGTTTGATTTATATTTCATTATAAAGGTACCTTTAGTAGAGTCTTGTGTTACCCTGTAGATGAAACACTGGATTGCTAACCACCAGGTCAGTGTTAAACTCACCAGCAGTTCCTTGGAAACTAGGGTTTCAGTCAACTGGCTTGACCACACAATAATAAGTAATTATGTTTTTAAGGGCTTTTTTCTCCTATTCATAACAGAATGCAGATAGTTACAGGAGTGATAGGGTGACCCACATCACTCAGAATTATATGAAGATGGTTTTATTTTAGTAGAGAAACATGAAACAGCTGTTTCATTAGGGCAAAAACAATGCTGACAAGTTCATATTGTTAATCCTAATGCAAGTTTGACCATATAACAATAATCCAATTTTAAGTGCCATGGAGTCAGTTCCAAATTCATTGCAACCATGTACAAGGTTTTAAGGGGTGGTTGATGAGTTTGAACCACGGACCTTATAGTTCAAATAACCTTGCAGTCCAGTGCCACACCAGAACAACTCCTAATACAATAAGCTGTCATCAAATCTATTTTCACTATAGGTCAGGAAACTGCACATTAAGAGGCTGCAGCTTAACAAAGTACCTTCAAGTCAGTTAAGATTCATAAGCAGTCGTGTATATATGGTTTCTGAGGAACAGCTGGTGGATATGAACTATTGACCTAGTGGTTCACATCCCAATGCTGATCATACAGCGCCCATTAAAAATGTTAGAGCTAAATTGCAGGCTCTTAAATTCTTGGTCCCCTTGACCCAAAGCATGGAGACTAGGAGATGATAGGGTATAAATGTGGTAAATGCACTGAGTGGACTAATAGAAAATACAAGATAGTGAATTATTTTCCTGGGAAAATGGTCCATTGTTTTTGCTGGTTTATGGAAGGAGTCTAATTTTAAAGGGGTTAAGAATCACAGATTTCCTAGAAAATAATCTGCATTAAAGTCTAGTTCAAGTTATACTATCTTCTTCATTCCCACCCTTCTATTACCATCACCTCAATCCTGTGAATATGTATCTCCTAAGCATGTTGAGGCTGTCCATTTCCCACCCAGCCTACACCGATTGCTTCACTTTCATGCTCTTGTTTTCCAGCTTTTTAATGTTCGATTCAGTAACTTAATACCTTTTCCACCTTCTCTTGCATTTCAAAGCAAATTCTGTCATAATTTTATGTAACTTTTCAGTATATACTTCTAAAAGAATTACTCCATAAAATTACAGCTATCACCACACTTAAAAAAATAACTCTAATCTCAAACACCAAGTGTTTGAATTTTCCGAACAGATTCATATTTTTTAAATAGTTGATTTGTTAGA